TTTAGTTGTAGGTGGACACAATACCTTTATTTTATTTTTATGAGGAGCTGAGGATCGAACTCAGTGCCTCACACGTGCCAGGCGAAATTAATGCTGTCTCCAAGAGTGGTTGGGTCTCATGAGACTAGATTAATTCCTGGGAGAATGGATTGCTGGAAAGTGAGTTTGGCCTTCTCAGCTTGCTCTCTCTTGCTTTCTTTCTTGCCATGTGAGCTCTCTTTCCTGAGCTTCCACCATATGTCCTAACCATGTGATGCCACCATCATGTTTTGATACAGCCAGGGAGCCCTCTCCAGGTGACATGTAATGTGTCATATGGCCGCTAACATGGCATCCATAGGTTCCTATCTCCTGTACTTCATGCTTGAATATAATTCCTTCCCACTTGAATGTGAGGTGAACTTATTGACTTGCTCCTAGTAAATGCAACAGAAATAATAAGATGTCACTACAGCATTCTCACTAAATGACTGTGATTTCTGTCTTGAAGGCTCTCTTTGTGTGTGCATGTGTGTGGTAGGGTCACTGAGGATGGAACCCAGGGGTGCTCTACAGCTGCAGTATGTCTCCAGACCTTTTTTCAATTTGAGACAGCATATCTCTAAGTTGCCCAGGATTGCACTTGCAATCCTCCTGCCTCAGTCTCCCGAGTTCCTGGGATTACATGCCACCCTGCCTGTCTTGAAGTCTTTCTTTCTAGGGTGAGGCAAGTTGCTGTGTTGTAATTTTATGGAAAGTTTCATGATGCAAGAAAATGAAGTGCCAGGAGATTGACAAAGAGGAGTTTTCCCCTTGAGTCTTCAGAGAGAATGTGGCCATTCCTGAAATATTGATTTCTGGCCTTGAGCCTTTGAAACTGTGAAAGAATAAGTTCTGATCTTTTTAAGTTTATGGTTAATTTGTGATAGTAGCCACAGGAAACTATTACATCAGCCAGTAGCCAGAGAAGACCTGAGTCCTGCCAACAGCCACTAATAAGCTTGAAAGAGGATCTTCTGAGGCCTGCCAGCAGCCGGGTTGAGTGAACTTGGCAATGGATCCTCTCTAGGTTAAGCCTTGTGATGACTGCACCCCCAAGGGACACCTTGACTGTTGCCTATGAGAAATGTGGAGCCACCCAAGTGACTCCTGTATCTCTGACCTGCAGAAACTGTGAGATAATATAGGTTTACTGTTTTAATCAAGTTTGGAGTGATTTGTTATATAGCAATCTCCCTCCTCCCTCCCATTGGGTTCTCTCTCTCTCTCTCTCTCTCTCTCTCTCTCTCACACACACACACACACACACACACACAACACACACAGATACACACATTTTCTCTCTCTCTCTCTCAATTTTGGAGAGACAATCTATAAACTAATGGTGGTTGGTAACTGATAGGAGATGGTGTGTTGGTCATCTTTACATCGCTGTGACCAAAATGCCTGACAAGAACAACTTAGAGGAGGACAAGTTTATTTTGGGCTCGCTGTCTCAGAGGTTCAGTTTATGATCAGACAGTTTCATTGCTCTGTAAGGCAGAACATCATGGTACAAGGCTTGTGGAGGACCACTGCTCCGCTCAGCCAGGAGGCAGAAAGAGAGGGTGTGGGGACAGACACACACACCAGGGACAAAATATAATCCCCAGGGCATGCCCCTAGATAACCTACTTCCTCCAGCCACACCCTACTTGCCTATAGTTACCACCTGGCCCAATAGCTCTTTCAAATTATTGACCTATCAAATGGGTCAACCCCAGTGATGAGGTTACAGCTCTCATAATCTACTCATCTCATCTTTGAACATTTCTACATTGTCTCACATGTGGGATTTGGGGGGACACCTCATATTCAAACCATAACTGATGGTTACTGATTGTGGATGGTTTCTGATAGGGGTGAATAGGAAGGGAGTTCAGGGAATGGGAATAGGAGTAAGATTTCTCAGAGTATAACTTTATAAGATTTTGTTTTATTCTATATGAGTGTTTTATACTTTCAAAAAATAAAATTAAGAAGATGAAAAAACAAAATTCTAAAATTGACACAAATAAAAATGAAAACATAAGTTGATAATATAGCCATATTAAAAAGCATATAATAATTCAAGCAATTTCAGAATACAATACACTAACTGAATGATTTAAAATGATATATTATAAAGACAAAAACGAACAGCAAAGAAATCTTAAACCTAGAAGATTTGTTGCTGCTGGTGGTACTGGTGAGTAAGTTTTGTGTAGATTGTAGAATAGAACAAATGAGTAAATTTGTTGATGCTGATGGGAACCAGGATTTTTACTGGAGGAGACGGAAGATACAAACATGGAAAGGAGGAAGTAGAGAGGGGGTGGGGACATACCTGAGGGGCTGGGGTTGTGGCCCAGTGGCAGAGTGCTTGCCTCGCACATGTGAGGCACTGGGCTCCAACCTCAGCACCACATAAAAATAAACAAAATAAAGATATTGTGTCCATGTATAACTAAAAAAAAATTAAAATGTATATATACATATATTTAATATTTAATGTCTTGTTACATGATATTTTACACACACACACACCTGGGATCAGGGAAGCCAGTGGTAGTTGTGTATACCTATAGCCCCAGCTTCTTGGCAGGCTGAGGCAGGAGGATTACTTGAGCCCAGAAGTTAAAGCCAGCCTAGGCAACATAATGAGACCCAATCTAAAAAAAAAAAAAAAAAAAAAAAAAAAAATTCTAGACCTATATATACACACATATATATGTATCTGGGTAAAGGCTTGTACTGTTCATTGTAGTGAAGTATAAAAAGAACTTTAGGGCTCACAAAACCCTAAAATTATAAATATAAAACTAAAAGTGCACAATACAAGGAAATTTAAGGAGAACTGGTAGATCTCTTGCAAGGAAGAGCTCAAAGATTTTCAGACATTTGAAAGGACATAGGAACCAGGCCAGGGGGCTTCTACTGGTCAAATGTGGTCAATTTGAGCACCAACAAATAATAATGGCATTTGATTGTAAGGACTGAACGTAAAAAGAATCCAGGAGTCCACACCATTTCTCAAAAACAAAGAAGAGGGAAAGTGTGAAAGGGGAAGAGGATGGGAAAGGGAGAAAAGAGAGAGGAGGGAGAAAGGCAGAACTCCTCTTTCATTTTTTTAAGATTGGAATGTCAGCTAAAAATGTAGAAAAAATGGTGGAGTTGGAAAGCCACCATATTACAATGGATATAATGTGTCCATAGGTATATACTGAAGTCATTTAGTTGTACAACATTGTGAATGCCCTAATGCCACTCAGTGGTTCACTTCAAAGAGGTTTATGTTATATGAATTTCACCTTTAAAAAAAAGTTGGAAAAAATCACATGCATGCTATCTTTGTATATTATTTGTTGGAATAAATTAATGTTCTCTAGAATGACTTCAACTTCTGAAAATTTTAAGGTTCTGTCTGAAATTAAGCACATTTTTATTGTTTAGAAGACACATCCTATCAGCAGTACCTTTTTGATTGTGCTCCTTAATTAAAATTAATAGAATTTCTTTAATCATCACAATCTCTTTATGGGTTTTTTTTTTTTTTTTCAAAATGTTCTCATTCCTTTATGACAGTGTAGAGCCTCAGGCTGCATTTGAAATGCTGCATTTGGAGTCAGAAAATGGGGACAAATATTCACTGGGGTTCAGCCTATCCCTTCAGATATTAATACAAATGCAGCAGATAGCTTTGTTGACAGACAGAAGCAACCTTAAGCAAAGGGGTTGGACTTGACATGGTGTATAATGATGTCAGAGGAACACTGTGGGCCTCCTAAAGTGAAGCAGTGGGAAGTACACATCATCATTCCTACTTTTCTCACTAAAATATTTAACCTGAATTTAATCATGAGGAAACAATTCCATAAATCCAGAAGTGATGCAGTCTGCAAGGCAATTGACCTGGACTTCAAATATGTGAAAGCTATAAAGAATAAAAAAAAAAAAGTGAGAGTATTGTTCCAGACTGAGTTTAGGGATGTGAAATCAACTGCATCAAGCTGATTCTCCATAGATCCTGAAGAGTGTTTGTGTGTGTGTGTGTGTGTGTGTGTGTGTGAGAGAGAGAGAGAGAGAGAGAGAGAGAGAAATTTTGGGACAGGAGAGGAAATTTAAACATGAATGGTACATTTGATATGATTGAAAATATATTTAATGTCTTGTTACATGATGTCAACTTTCCACTGGTTCAGTGGGAAAATACATAGTGAGAACGCAAATGTTGAAAAATGTTAGCATTCTGATAACTCTGGGTAAAGAGCATTCTTTTCATAGTACGGTTCTTTCCATTTTTCGGTCGGCTCGTAGATTTTTAAACTAAAAAACTGGGGTATAAAAATAAATGCAAATTTACTTCCTTCCAACAGTGGAGGTTCCCGCAGACCGGAAACTACCCCTGAGAAGGCTTCCTATCCGCGGATCTAGCGGCTTCCGGGTTTCTCTTTCCCTGCGAAATCGAGATGTGAGAGTGAACGTGAGCTGTCCTGGCTTCTGGGGCAGCTTGCTGCGGAGCCGGGAGGGGGAGATCGGGGTGCAACTCGGCCCCGCCCCCGGCCCCGCCCCCGGCCCTCCACACCCGGCTCGCGGGCAGCCTGCGTCCTGGGCGGGGCTGGTGCTGGCAGCGACCAATGGGAGCCAGAGGCGGGGGCGTGGCCGGGGCGGGGCTGTGCTCTGGCTCCTAGACCAGCCCCAGGGCTCCGCAGCCTTTTCTCCACCTTCTGCGGCACCGCCCTATCTGGCCGCGTGCGAGCCTACGTTGGAGGTGGTGGGAGGCCTTGGTCCTCTGGTTAAGTTCTTGGGCAGCTTCTCTTCGCTCACGTCCTCTTTACAGCGTGGTGCCCAGGAACCGAGGACTGGAGGTATCCTTGGGGCCCTGATCTCCTGAGAGCTGACGCAGCTGGGCGTGCTCAGGTCTGCGGGTGTTCTAGGGTTCGCAGGCAGGATTGGGCTCCGTGGTGCGCGAGGTTCCGGGGTCAGGATCCGCTGCCCGGCTACTGCTGCCGTGGATCTGGAGGGTTGTGTTGTTGGTGTGGAGTGATTCCTGTTCTCCAGTCATTGGGATGCAAGCGTGAAACCAATTCTGGCATTTCAGCGTTTGCGCCATTGGTGGAGCAGTTAGCTCCTCCTGCCGGTGCGTCTCTTCCCCTCTTGGACTCCTTTAGACTGTAGAGCCCCAGCCCGGCCGGCTTCGTGGGCTGAGAAAGAACACTCTACTCTTTGACTTGCTCCTGGAATCAGCCAGGTTGGTTCATACTTGCAAAAACCGGTCGAATGAATTTGATCAGAAAGTTAAGGTAGCTCTGGGTTTTAAAGTCTTTCCAGGTGTAATTTTATATAAAGCAATCGCAATGGTCGGTAGTATTGTTCTGCCCAAGAAGAGCAAAACAGTGTTGAAACTGTTCTGTGGATTCTACATTCGTCTCTACTTGTGCAGTAAGAAAGTTGACAGGCATGAATTTTAGTCCTGGCTTTGCTACTGCCAATCTTTGTGACCTTGGGCTTAGTTAATTCATGGGAAATGAGATGGAATTTCCAAGATTCCTTTTAACTCCACGTTTGGTAAACTGTGTTGAGCTTATTTTTCGTTTTGCACTTTTAAAAAGAATAGGAAAAGGGAAAAATTCATGAAAAGGCAGTCCAGCAGGGAACAAAGATCTTTGAGAGCCCAAAAGTTTAGAAACTGATTACAGCTTAAAACTACAGATGGAAAAGGAAACACAAGTGAAATTGAAAGGATTTATCAAGAATTAATTAGAGAAACTTGAAAAGCATTTCAGAAGTACAGCTATATTTAATTACCACTCCTTACACCTATACAAATAAGGTCAGGGGAAAATAAATATTAAGTAGTCATGTAAGGGAAAATATCATCAGAGAGGGTGGATAACTTAGCATGTATCTTAAGTGTAGGAAGAATCTTTGGAATTTTAAAATTTGTATGGCCATTTTCATTCAGCAAACACTTTTTTAAAAAATCAGAGGTTTTCTATCTTCCGTGCAGAAAAATCCTACATTTATTCTGAATGTGTAGAATTCTCTCCCCTCCCACCAAGATGTATATAAACGGCAGTGTGTGTGTGTGTGTGTGTGTGTGTGTGTGTGTGAGTGAGTGCTGGGGATTGAATCCCGAGTTTTGTACATACTAGGCAAGTGCTTTACGGCTGAGCCATACCCTCAGATCCCAGTATTTTAAAACAGCCTTTGGAAGTTAGTGTTTTGCTGCAAAGTAGTACATGGCAGAAAGATCACACTATCTTCAGAGGCACATATAGTTTGAATACCCTGTATCCCTGAGTGAGGAAAGTTACTTTTCTTTTCAGAGGTTGTGTTGCTTCAGTTGTGAAATGTGAATAATGATACCTGTTTCATGGGGTTGTGAGGATTCAGTTAAATCCTTTGTGTGAACAATGTGTAGCAATGCCTGACATCAAGTGTTTAATAATGACAGCTGTTGTTAGTATTGAGTTCATAATGCAACATAATGGGTTTTAGTCTGTCCTCGAGAGTATGACCCAAAGGGAGCATAATGGGAAGTGATCTACAAACACTGCCTAACCCTAGATTTCTGCAAAGTTGTAATCCCTTCCCAGGGTCTTGGGCTGAGATGCTGCTAAGGACACATCCATCTCTGACTGTTTTGACTCGATTCAAAGATCTGACTATCAGATGTTTTAGTAGATACAGTTGGAATTTTTTTCAAACTTATTGGAAGTTAAGGATCTCCAAAGAGTGCTCATGAACAAAGAAATGAGTTAGTTTACTGAACAGAGATCCAGCTCAAAATAACTGCTATGGCCAGGACAGGTTATCAGACACAGGTGACTAATTCTAACCTTAACGGGGACCTATTTTATTTGGATGTTTGTCGACCTCCTGAGGCTTTCTGGTTCTTAAGCCAAATTATTCTTTCTTTTCAGCAAACATTAACTTGGGACGTCCCAGTGGTCTTAACTGCTTAGATTAAATCCTTTAATCTTAAGGATTTAATCTTCTTTTCCTTAGGAAAAGAAAAGAGCCACAAAGTTGTTTTTAACCTCTTACTAGATAGCTTTGAAACACAATGTAATTGAATAGAAAGAACTTTCTCATAATTTAACCAGGGATGCTGACACAGGAGTGGACACCCATTTTGGAAGATGTTTTATTTTGGCAGTACTTCTGAAAACTAATGAGATGTGATCCATCCCTAGTGATTCAAAATGGCAAAGAGGCAATTGCACAATGACTTTAGTTGAGTATTTGCATGAGTATTAACCCAGACCCTTTGGGTTATAATCTAACTAAAAACTTAATATCAAAACTGACAGAGGAGGGGCTGGGGCTATAGCTCAGTGGTAGAGCGCTTGCCTAGCACGAATGAGGCACTGGGTTCGATCCTCAGCACCACATAAAATAAAGTAAAAGATGTCGTGTCCTCCGGAAAAAAATTTAAAAATTCTCTCTCTCTCTCTCTCTCTCTCTCTCTCTCTTTAAAAAAAAAAAAGTAGTGGCAGAAATTATAAATTAATTAGTGAGATGGTATGAAGTTATATGGTAAATTTTTTAAAGTTAAAGATCGGTTATAATCTCACTTCCCATAAATTTTTGGAGGCTGTAGTGTGTGTGTGTGTGTGTGTGTGTGTATTCATGTGGAAAAAATTCATTTGTAAACAAGGTGAGTGAAAATGACAATCAGCTATAATTTCTTCATTGAAAAATTAATTCCTTAAAACAGGAATTTAAATGATCGCCATGTCCCATGGTATAATTGGCCACCATTTATTTAGTTTGCTGATTTTTCAGTAGCAACACAGATCCTTGGGCTGTGTTCCTGTGATCCTCATTCAGTAGGTGAGGCCTAGGTGGCTGTCCTATTAAGAAACTCTGCAGGCAGGTTCAGAACTACCAAGGAATCCCATGTTCCACAGAGGTGCTTGATGTGTATATGGTGTCTCATCCCCCGAAATACAAATCATTTAGGAGGGTAGGAGTAGAGGGGAAGGGGAGCAACTGCTAAATGGTTTCCTGGTGAGATGATGAAAACATTTTGGGACTAGATAGAGTGGTAGTTGCACAATCCTGAAGTGCCACTCAGTGTGAGTTCACCTCAAAGAGGTTTGTTCATGTTATATGAATTTCATCTCAGTAAAAAACTTGCTGAAAAAAATCACATGAATACCATCTTTGTATACTGTTTGTTGAAAAAAAATAAATAATTTCTTTTTAGAATGATTATCTTCTGAGTATTTTGATTTTTTTTCTCCGAAATGAAGCACATTTTATTGTTTATAAGATATATCCTGTTTATATGATGTATTCTGCTTAGCGATATTTCTGCCCTCATTAAAATTAAGAGAATATCTTTACCCATCACAACCTTCTTATGGGTTCTTTATTTTTAAGATGTTCTCACTCCTTTATGACTGTAGAGCCTCAGGCTGTAGCAGAAAGAATGCTGCATCTGGAGTCTGGACACTGGGTTGTCAGGCCAATTCCGCCCCCACCTGCTGTGTGGATTAGGCTGAGAGCAACTTGGTCCAACTGGGTTTTATAGCCTGTGTGTGAGAACGGTATATTTGTTTTCCTACCCCAAGCTCTTTGGGGTGATTCACTGAAATCATTTACATAACCATTTTGTTAGTTATGGTATTTCACATGCCAGTGTTATGTAATCCATGTTTTGCTTTTTAACTTGGCAATTAGCAAAACCCACAAATGGGTTGAAGATAAAAAATGAATCATTAGATTTATTATTAATGTGTTCTTAGAGTCTATAACTTATAATGTTAATCATTATATTAGTGAAGCTAAGAATAAGTTAAGTGCAGGTATTAAGTGTTTTCAAGGATAATAGGGAGATTAGAGGAATTTGGTGGGGCAGAGCTCGCTCTTTAACATGAAAATACATAAAAGCATGATGACCTTCAGGTTCTATGCTTAGGAGCCTTCTACTTTACTCATTTGTAACTATGATTTTTTTAATATTCCTAAATGAGGAATTACTATTATTAGATTTACATAGGCTCCTCTTTGTAAATCAGGTGTGTGACCCTGATCTTGGCTCTGCTGAGAACTGACATTCTAGATAGTAGTGACTTGGGGTAGGCTTCTGGGACATGTGGATTTGGGAAATTCCTAAACACATGCAAAATAAAAACTTTGGACATATTACCACCAGTAATGACTGTAATAAATTAGAAATTTTACTTTAAACTGATAAAAGTTATAGTTGATATTACATGCACTCCTATGTATTAACTTGTGTTTCCTGTTAATGGGCACAAGGAGGCCTTTGTTTCCAACTCAGATCACATAACAACTGTTGAACATACCACAGATGTGCAGGAGCTGGGCTGTGGCATGTGAGTGTATACCACATTGAGTGGGGACATATAAAGGGAAGAAAGTTATTGAGTATCTTTCACATATATATAATCACATATATTTAATCTCAAAGTTGGCCTATAGCTGGTATATAATTCATCTTGGTGAATAAATTTATATGCTGTACTCTTAATTGTTGTTTTGGCTATTGTGATGGTGGTGGTTGCTAAAGAAAATACCTAGACTGAGAGGTTAACAGGAACTTCCCTACAAATAGGAATGTGGCCCTGACCCAGGTCTGCCTCTTTCCTTCATGCCAAGCTGCCTCCCAGCTAGTAACATCATGTGGCCAAGAGAACTGAGTTGGCATTTACTGAGTATACATTTGAAGTAGGTGGTGGTGGGCTGGGGTTGTGGCTCAGTGGTAGAGCACTTGCCTAGCATGTGTGAGGCATTGGGTTCAATTCTCAGCACCACATACAAATAAATGAATAAAATAAATGTCCATCATCAACCAAAAATATGTATATAATTTTCTTTTAAAAAAAGAAGTATATAGTGGTGATTTTTAAGTAATTATCATTTTACCATATGACACAGGTTTGCAACACTTTTCTGCTCCAGGGCACCTGAGGGATGTGATGCCTCCCTTTAGGGACTGGCTAAGATAGTGGCAGGTGAATACCAAATATTTATTGCATGAAGATAAAATAGACTACTCAGAAAACAGTCTCCCCTGCCTTGCACTGGATGCATAAGCACACATTGAGATATTAGCCTGGCAGATGACTTCTTGAGGCTGGAGTAATAATTAAGGCCACTTGGGCTGGGGATATAGCTCAATTGGTAGGCCCTGGATTCGATCCCCCCCCACCCAACCAAAAAAAAAAAATTAAGACCACTGATGAAGTGAGATTAGAAATTGCTGATTTCGGGCTTAGGACACAGGGTGCTTTGCTTTATTAGGTGAGGCTCACCCTGGGATTGTTGGGGGGGTGGGTAATAGCCCTGATAGTTCCAAATAAAACCCAGGAAAGAAAAGAAGTTGTCTGTGAGAGAAGTTACTACATTGCATCCTCTTTCTTTTGTGCCCAGGAAAAACCCAGTTTGTGTAAGTCAAAGGAGAAGGGACAGCAAGAATGTCAGCCCTTAACTGGAAGCCATTTGTCTACGGAGGTCTGGCCTCCATCACAGCTGAATGTGGTAAGGAGCGCAGGTCCCCAAGTCACCTTGCCTACTGCGTTGGGATAGAGTTTTAATTGCCATGTGTTGTTTGATGTGAATGTTGCTCAAAGGCAGAAGGTGAACTTAGGAAACATTAATCCCAGAATTTAAAAATGCCTCCTTTTAATTAATTTTAAAGACAGATAAGTCATTTTGGCTACTTATTAGCAGTTTAGGGTTCAGAGTTCAGTGGGGACAAAGTTGAGCCTGCCAGCCAGACAGAAGTTTTACGAATCCTGTTTGGATTGCGTTTGTTTCTGTTTTCCTCGCCCTTTCCCCTACTTTTTCAGTTAACCCATTTGGCAGAAAAGAGGTTTGGGAAGTTCAAGGGACTTCTCTGATCCTGAGGAGATTGATTTATTAGATGGACTTCATTCAGTCACTTCTTAGTTGTGTATTGTCTGTATCCTATCAATCAATGACTTCATCATTTGAGTTCCACATCTGATTCTGTTGGTTTTTTCTCTGGAATCAGTCATTCAGCACATGGATTGAGGCCTTTTGTGTGACTAGTGCTGGCCTGGACGCTTCATTTACTCAGTTGCCTTAGAAGACATGTTAACCCCCAACCCAGTTTCCTAGGTCTCTTTGCTGGGGGGCTTTCAATGAATTAATTGATGAATTTCAGTGAATGTTTCATTATACTGAATGAATTAATCTTGATTCAGTGAGTCAAAGTTACTGTTTGAAGAATGGGTTTTATATGTTTGGATTAGCTGTTAGATACTATGTGAAACATCTTTACCTGTGTTATTAGATTTAATTTTAGACTATAAAACACTGCTTCTTCCTAAGTAAAGATTCCTTTAGAAAATGAACTTTTTTTGAACCTCTTTTCAGTCACATTGTACCCAATTTTAGTTTTTTACATACATACAGAATAGTCACTTTGATTTCTTTTTTTAAAGAGAGAGTGAGAGAGAGAGAGAATTTTTTAATATTTATTTTTTAGTTTTCAGCGGACACAACATCTTTGTTTTTTGTATGTGGTGCTGAGGATCGAACCCGGGCCGCACGCATGCCAGGCGAGTGCGCTACCGCTTGAGCCACATCCCCAGCCCAGTCACTTTGATTTTTAAGTGCATTTCTTGTTTGTAATAGTAATTCTATTTATCTACTTTCTATAGCAATGCAATCTCCTCAGACCCTTTGTAGAGTAAGATGAGGTGTGAATAAAAATGTGAAGAAAAAAATACATTTGTGTATTTTTTGTGTAATTGTTTTCTTTTTTATTTGTAAATGGACAAATACCTTTAATTAATTTATTTTTTTATGTGATGCTGAGGATTGAACCCAGAGCCTCATAAGTGCAAGGCAAGTGCTCTGCCACTGAGCCACAACCCCAGCCCCATTTGTGTATTTTTTAGTTATGCTAATCTTTTGGTTTCTTATTTTTTTTTAATAGAAGATTACACAATATCTCCCATTTCTTAATATTTCTGACTTCATATTATAGTCTGAATGCTTCCTTAGTAATATATCACCATGGATACTTTATTTAGTGGAATTTCTTTTTATTAAGTGAACTATTTCTTTAACATTTCAAGGCACATTCCCCATTGATTTAACCAAGACACGGCTTCAGATTCAAGGCCAGACAAATGACGCCAACTTTAAAGAAATTAGGTATCGAGGAATGTTGCATGCATTGGTGAGAATAGGCAGAGAAGAAGGGCTGAAGGCTCTGTATTCAGGGTGAGTGAATTTTTGAGTGTTTATTTTTCACTATTGACCATTTCAAACAGATAGACCTAAGACTAGCGTTCATCAAGAAAAAGTAAAGATTCAAGGTATATTTGAAGATCAATTAGCATGGTAGACTTTTCAGTTTTAATTTCAATGGTGTTTTCTAAATACATATTTTATGTAGTATATGTTTTGGTGAAATTGTGTTTTTCCTGTATTCAATAGCCTCTTGGTATTCTTTTTCACACTTTGAAAGAACAGTCCTTTTCCTTAGCTATTCTGAATTATCTAGTTTTTTTTTGCCATCATGAAAATGATACAGTATGGCTGAGTTGCATTGAACTAATTTTCACTATTTAAACACTGTTCAGTATTTAATAAACAGTGTTCTGTAAGGTGCTGGGTGAGAGAGTGAATGAGCCAAGGTCCTACTCAGTCAGTTCTTGCATGAAACAGAATTTACTTGGATAGTTTAAATGAAGAAAAAGGAAAGCCCTTGCATTTTCATACAAATGGGCAAATGATCTCCACTTACATTTTCATTGAGGTTAAATATGAGGGGCCAAGCTTCCACTTGATGAACTTACTGGTAATTGGCACAAATTTTACTGAACCAACTTGTATTTTTGTTGGATCTTGACTTTTAAGAAATCCATTTTGGTGTAGTTTGAGTGTGTCTCTGCATGTTTCTCCCTGAGGATATCAAGTGACCCCTTGCCTGTTGGTTTGGCAGGATTGCCCCCGCCATGCTACGCCAGGCTTCCTATGGCACCATCAAGATAGGCACTTACCAGAGCTTGAAGAGATTGTTTGTTGAACGCCCAGAAGGTGAGTGGGGAATCTGTTTTCCACCTGGGGTCCACCAGCAGATGGGGTTTTTGATCTTTTTATTCAAGTGGTTTTGGAAAGAATTTTTCTTTGTGACTTTACTATGACTAAGGAGAAGTCTGAGTGTAAAGTCTAAAAGAATTGTGCTATGTCAAGTCAGGCACCAGCTGAATTGAGAGGAGCAATACTTACAAAGAACCATCTCTATAAACGTTTTAATTAGTTGTCCTCATTTCCAAAATGCCTAGACCTATGGTATGTTGTTACCATTTAATCTAGCTTAAAATTTTAAAAAACATATGAATTATCACCCATTTTTTCAGGACAGCATTGAATACAGTTCTTAGCATTAAGAGCTCTTGAGTTCCAATACTCCATGTCTGATTGGTTCCATGACTTTGTTTTAATCCACAGAATTCTCTCTTTTTTTTCCTCTCCCCGCGCCCCCACCAATGGAATGAGTACCAGTCACTTGTATGAGAGTGGTGAAACACTTTGAAAATACTTTGGCATATTTCAAACTAAATCTGTGCCAAACAAAGCTCCATGTTACCTCATAGGAATGTGTCTTTTTTTTGTTCTTCTAACAGATACAGCTCATCTTAATTATGATGGTCTGACTTTACACACAAAATTGAATTGGTAGATGGTAACTCACTTTGCATGATCATTCAAACTTATTTTTCAGATACTAAGAGTTAGCTAGCAGAATTCCTTTGAAAATGAGTTGATTCATAAAGGATAAATTTATCTTAAGGTGAATAAGTCACTTATTTGGGTTATGGACAGGAAGAATTCTGTATATATGGAAAGTCAAATACTATGTCTTTGTTTACAGATGAAACCCTACTGATCAATGTCATATGTGGAATTCTCTCTGGTGTCATATCCTCAGCCATTGCTAATCCAACGGATGTTTTGAAAGTAAGCAGTGCTAGTTACATCTGAGAGGAACATTCTATATTTTCTTACTGAGAACAACAGATTTTATTTTATTTTTTTTTTAATTTTTTATTGTTGGTTGTTCAAAACATTACATAGTTCTTGATATATCATATTTCACACTTTGATTCAAGTGGGTTATGAGCTCCCATTTTTACCCCATATACAGATTGCAGAATCACATCAGTTACACATCCATTGATTTACATATTGCCATATGAACAACAGATTTTAGATAATGAAAATCTGTCAATATAAAATTCTGTGTATATGCAAATCTATTTATACTGTAAAGGTTACAAAGACTAAATATCCACTAAGTGCATTTCCCACTGATAGAGATGTGCTCAAAAATAGAGCTCATTTTGGAGACAAGGATCTTGGTGACTGAGCAAGAAAAAATTTTAAGCTTGAATAGATGCATTTGATTTCTTTTTTCATAGAAAAATCTTCATTGTCTTAATGGTTTATTAACAATAGATAGGCTAACCTGGTGTGGTGGCACAGGCCTGTAATCCCAGCGACTGGGGAGAGTGAGACAGGAGGATCACAAGTTCCAGGCCAGCCTCAGCAACTAAATGAGACCCTATCTCAAAATAAAAAAATAAAAAGGGCTTGGGACTTAGCTCAGTGGAGCATCCCTGGGTTCAATCCCCAGTACAAAAAAAAAAAAGGAAAGGGTTACAAATGCAAGCTGCTCATTAATAACTATTTCTGAATGCATTTTCTTACCTTTTAATTTGTTTTAAGAAATACAAGATATTTACTTATTGTAATTAGATGTAACATATTAGATAACCTTATTGAGAAACTAGTATTTTAGTCAGTTTTTTTGTCAGTGTGACCCAAATATCTGACAAGAACAACATAGGAAAGTTAATTTGGGGTTCACAGATTCAGAGGTCTCAATCAGTAGACAGCTGACTCTGTAGCTCTGGGCTCAAACTGAGGCAGAAAATCATGGCAGAAGAAAGCAGCTCAGGACATGGCAACAGAAAGCAAAAAGAGTTCTGCTTATCAAGAACAAAATATAAGCCTCAAAGGCATTAGCTCCTCCTTCCCCCCCAGTGTCCCTCCTCTTCTAGCCACACCCTTCCTATCTACAGTTATCATCCAGTTAATCCATCACTTGGATTAATGCACTGATTAGGTCAAGACTTTCATAACCCAGTTATTTTACCTATGAACTTTCTTTCATTGTCTCACATGAGCTTTTGGGGAACACCTCATATCTAAACCATAACAACTAGAGACACAGCACCTGCCAGGTTTCTCTTCTTGCGACTAAAAGGCTCAGGGGTCGCTCCATTGAACTGGGCTAACTGGGCTGCGCAAAATAACCACACAAGAGACACAAATATCTTTTTCTTTGGGGCTGTGACGGCTCCTCTGACCTTAAGGGTCTGTAGGGAGAGAGAGAGAGAGCACACGTGCTGACCCCTTTTATTGAGGAGAAGCTATTCAAAAGAGGCAAGGGGTCAGGTTTCAGGGGGCTGAGTCTATCTTCATGATGTCCAGTGTCAGCAGGTTGACTGACACCTGGGTAGGCCACACCCAATGGCACAGTAAGAGGAGGGGACACACACAAGGCACTTCCAAGGAACATTCTGTCCTAAACAGGGTAAGGAGTTATATTACAAAGGAACAGGTGAGCATAGCTCCACCCATGGGGCTGTAGGAAGACACAGTCACTCGAACCCTCGAAGAGCGAAGAGCGGGGCAGTCTAGCAGCATGGGTGCCTGATGCCACATTGCCCAGCAGGGGAATTAACTCAGTCACGTGCGAGGTTGGTCTCCCACAAGCACCCTTAAATCCTTTTTGGAATAAGCAAGGGCATAAGTAATTAAATAAAATCCAGGGGGTCTGGGGCTGTAACTCAGTGGTAGAGTGCTTACCTTGCATGTGTGAGGAAAGGCAGTTCCAGGGTTTGATCCTCAGCACCACATAGAAAGAAAGGAAGGAAGGAAGGAAGGAAGGGAGGAAGGAAGGGAGGGAGGGAGGGAGGGAGGGAGGGAGGAAGGAAATTGTGTCCATCTGCAACTAAAAAAAATATTTTAAAAAGTGGGGGCTGGGGTTGTGGCTCAATGGTAGAGCGTTCTAGCATGCATGAGGCACTGGGTTCGATCCTCAGCACCACATAAAATAAAATAAAGATATTGTGTCCACCTATAACTAAAAAATAAATATTAAAAAAAAAAACAGGCATGCATCATTTTCTGAACCCCCTTGAGTTATTCTTTCTCCTATCCCCACATTTAATAAGTATTCTATTTAACAAAGACTACATGCTTAGCATCTCAAATGACTAAGAAAAGGTTCCTGCTCTCAGAGACTTCAATCTAATAGAAGATTCTAAGAAGCATCAAAGCTATATGCAGCTTGTTGAGCATACCACATGTTAGGTACATGTGCTATAGTGAAGGTACAGCATGTATGAAGAAAAAATACAAGGCTCTTTTACCTTCTGTTTGAGGTAAGAGAGCTAGAGCAGGATATCTTTATTTTTTAAACATACCCCAGGGCTTAGGAGAAAGGCAGTTCCTATATTTTGGTTTATTTTGCCATGTTAGTGTGGCAGTTAACCATTTCTTTTAGAAGCTGGTAGTAATGTGTTTGCTCCCTAAACAAATATGAGTAACCACTTTTTTAGTTGAAATCCTTTTCATTTTAAAGAAGGCAAAGAGCTACATCAAACATGATATTTTGGTGGAATCTTGGTCATGTGGATCACATGGCCTTTTGAAGTTCACTACTAAGTTCAAGTGTAACAGAGTCTAACAGTATCATGTGGTCGTCATGTGGCCAGCTTGCCTGCATACCTTTTCGTTCAGCGGGTTGGAAATAGTAGTGACTTGGAGCATTTTAAGACCCATGCTTGCCTGTGTTTCATGCAGCTAAGTGTACTGGATAACTCTTATTAATTATATTAGAATTGCCATCACTTTCTTTCCTGCTTAGTCACCTACAGGGAAATATGCTATTTTCTGTCCTTCCCAAAGACTTTTAAAAATTTAATTTATTGAGACTTAATGAAATACTGTATATAGTATGAAATACTGTATATAGTATTTCATTCCTGGACTCTCCTTGGTGCCTTTTGGAGATTCCAGAGTTCCCAAGAACCAATCATTGTATGTTTTTAGTCTACTGAGAACTTTTAAGCAGCATTACAGTAATAATTTATATTACAGTTTTTTCTAAGGTTATCAAGTTGATTGATTTTCAGAGGCATACAAGGGTGGTGGTGGGGAGAATGTGCAATTTTCCTTCACTTATTGGTCTTTAAAATCATCTCTAGATACGAATGCAAGCACAAAACAGTAATATTCAAGGTGGAATGATAGGCAACTTCATTAACATTTACCAGCAGGAAGGGACGAGAGGACTGTGGAAGGTAAGCTTAAAGAACAGATCCAGCTGACTTAGTTCTTACCATTTTTCCTTTTTAAAATTTGTCCTATTTCCATCATTTTATTTTAACCCAAGTGGCATAAAGGAATAACGGAAGAGTGGTGTCTTCTGCCCTCGAAGATATGATCTTCCTTATTTCCTTATCTGTAAAATGGAAATGTAAAGAATATATCATGATTTTAAAATACCTTTTGAATAATTCATGTGTAAGAAATTTTGTGAAAGTTGAGCATGTGTTTTCTTTTTGTTGTTTAAATCCTTATGGAGAAGGTATCTAGGTTTGAGTTCTACTGGCGCAACATAGTTTCAAGGCCCTGAAGTGAAATCTGGATATTAGGCAAGTGCTGGTGTGGAGTGCTATTTGCTAGAATTCTAATGACTTGTCTGTTCATAGAAGAGACCCTAAATATCATGTAGTATGATCTCTCAGTATGACAAGGAGACTTCAGGCTCTGAGAGGTGACTTGTCCTGGCCAAGGTCTGGCCCAAAATTGTGCAGATGGTGCCAGAGTCAGAATTAGACCTTAGAGCTTTGGAGTGCTTTCTCTGTGGTCTTTTCAGTCTGTCGGTCCACAGGAGGAACACATGAAAAGTGGTTATAGTGTGTGGAATAGAACTTTGCACGTTTGCATTCTATGGAGGGCTATCCAAATCATCTTATTATTATTTTTACACAGGGTGTGTCCCTTACGGCTCAAAGGGCTGCTATTGTTGTTGGTGTGGAGCTGCCAGTCTATGACATCACCAAGAAGCATCTGATTCTCTCAGGCCTGATGGGAGACACTGTGTATACCCACTTCCTGTATGTTTATGGGTTTTTTTAAAATTAATATTTTAGGTATGCAATTTAGAGTGACAACTTAATATAAATTTATAGACACTTTAGAGAAAGTTTATTATAAAAGTATTATATTTTCACATTTGAAAATGTGTAGCACAGAAGTCAAACAGGACAGAGTATAAGTTCTTATCCCTATACATAGGCAGCTATTGTTAACAGTTTCATATGTACCTGTGTGTATATAAATGTGCATATAAATGTCTACAAAAGTATGTTACATGTACTTCATTACTGGGATCAAACCCAGGGCCTTGAGTGTGCCAGGCAAGTGCTCTACCACTGAACTTTACCTCCAGCCATTTGTACATGCTTTTTAAAACTTAACAATAAATTGCACACATCTTTCCATGTCAGTTCTTTCAGACTTAATTTATTTTTAATAGCTTCAGATTATCATGTTATATAAACATATTATAGATTATTTAATACTTAAAGTAGCAGGGGTGACTGCCCTGACAGGGACTTTTGGCAAAGCATGAAGACTGATCTGACTGTGACCACTAGGGAGAGCACTGCTGACCTCTGGTGGACAAGAGCTTCCCCAGGCAGCCAACTGACAGCCTCCATAACAAAGAATGACCTCATCCAAAGTGTGATTAGTGCTGAGGTTTAGAAACCTTCTGTGAGTAATTGATTCTCTTGAAAGAAACACCTCAGACAAGTAACCTTTAGCATAGTTCTTGAGCAGGAAAAAGATTCATGAAACAGGTATCACACTCATGACCAAAAGTGGTTCAGAAAGCTCTGATTCACAAAGTGTGCAGGCAACATTTATAGTCAGAGAAATGGAAATGGGATACAAATGGTTTCATTTAGTCTTTTTCAACTTCACAATGGGAAGAAAGTGTTCCCATACATCCATTCTGTTTTTCACTTTGAGTACAGAATTCAGTAAATTATATGAGATATTCAACCCTTTATTATAGAGTAGGCTTTTAATTAGACAGTTTTTCCCAAGTGCAGGTTAATGTAAGTATTCTGAACATGTTTAAAGTAGGCTAGGCTAAGTTATGATGTTCAGCAGGTTAGGTATATTAAATGCATTTTTTATTTATAATTTATATTTCCAATTAATGATGGGTTTATTGGAACACAACACCATCATAAATTGAGAAATAGCCTGATTGACTGCAGTTCTGCATTGACCCTATTTGGACATGTTTTGGCAGCTTTCAGCTTATGATTGACTGAATGTTTGGCTGAGACTTGGCTACTTGTTACTAGTAGACTGTCACATTAGTTTGCACGTTTGTTTGCAGGTAGATTTCAGTTAGTCATGTACAGATGATGCTTTAGGTTAAACACAGTTCAATCGAATAATACCTAATGTGGTCTGTGGTAGTCTTTTGAGAGTGGAAGTCTAGGAGAACCTAAGACCCCTGGTAGTTATTCCACTAGGGAGAGCTTGTTTTTTGATCTTCATGAATAATATGAATATAATATGGCTAGAATTACTCTGATGCCACTTACAGGTAAGTAGATGAAATAGTTCATCCTTGGAGTATGTTCCTTCATGTTTCTATGATTCTTTGACTTTGCAGAACCTCAGAGTACTCTTAGCTGTGGCTGGAATTTAAAAGCCAATAAAATCAGTGCTGGTATTTAAAGAAGTTTATCTAGCTTTCTAGATATGGACCTTTTATTTGATATATTTCATGTCATTACATGTCTCTTCACTTTTGGGAGGAGGTTGTTTCCTTCTTTGATGTGTGCTGAGTGGTGACAAACTTTTGGGGCCTTTTTTTTCCAATTAAATCTTCATAGCTCAAGCTTCACCTGTGGTCTGGTGGGGGCCCTGGCCTCAAACCCTGTTGATGTTGTGAGAACCCGTATGATGAATCAGAGAGTTATTAGAGATGGCGGATGCTCTGGCTACAGGGGTACCCTGGATTGCTTGTTACAGGTGAGAATGGATGAATGTCTGTGCAGGGTTGAGAATTTTTTTTGTGCTGCATGGGGGTAAACTATTATAAATATAAAATCTAAACAGATATTGAAATGAAAAGCTCATTTTCTACATGCTTCCACTCTGATATTTGGGGCTCACAGTTTTAGAGGTTTTGGTCCATTTAGTTATTTCATATATATATTTGTGTATGTGTATGTGTGTGTGTGTGTGTGTGTGTGTGTATGTGTTGGATGGCTGCAAACACTATTAATGCATTTGACATAATTGGAAAGTTGGAAGTTAATTCCATTTTTCTTTTCTTTTGTTTTTAACAGACATGGAAGAATGAAGGTTTTTTTGCTCTATATAAAGGGTTTTGGCCAAATTGGTTGAGACTTGGTCCTTGGAATATCATTGTATCCTTTTATGTCGTAATAGATCTGAAAAAAGATGGAGCCAAAGAATATTGCTTATGTAAACTGTCATTATCAATTATAATTTGGAAGTGGTTTCTTACCCTTTTTGAGTTCCTCTCATTGTAAGAAATAACTACTCAGTTTCTTTTTTAGAGTTAGTTTCTACTCAAGTCTCTGCTAGATACTATGATCTTAGTTTAATAATGGTGTTATTGAAAGGTAATTAGATTAGTGAAATTTCTCATCAGATTTTATGATTTCAGAGAGAGACAAGGATTGAGTTTATATCTAACTGCTCTGGAGAAGGATACGGTTGGCAACAGGGTCTAAAAATGCTTATTGCTGAGGCTACCTGGAGATAACAGGAAATCAACTCTGGAATTGTTTGGCTGGTCTACACTATTCCTTTTTTCCAAAATAGGAGGCAGAAAAGGAGTGTGTTTTATTTGACTTTCTTATCACTATGACCAAAAGACCTGACAGGAATAACATAGTGGAAAGAAAGCTTATTTGGGGCTCACAGTTTTAGAGGTTTTGGTCCATTGATGGCTGACTCCATCGCTCTGGGCACCAGAGGAGGCAGAAGGCCATGGCAGAGTCAAGCAACTCAGGACGGGGCAACAAGGAAACAGCGAGAGAGCTCTACTTACCAGGGACAAAATATAAACCCCAAGGGCATGCCCCTATTGACCTATCTCGTCCAGCTACACCCTATCTGCCTACAGTTACTGCCCAGTTAATTTGTATCAGTGGATCAATCCACCAATTAGATTGCAACCCTCATAATCTAAACATTTCACCTCTGAGTTTTCTTCATTGTCTCACACATGAGATTATTGGGGATATCACATGTCTAAACATGAATAGAGGTGAAAAGGCAGAATGAAGAAGCAGAAGGGTTGGATTTTGCCCTTCTCTTAATTCTCTTTATTTGCTCCTTCCTCACAAGAAAGGGTGCCTAGAAGAAACCCAGAGGAGAGCTTCCCAGGGATTGCTAACTGTCTCCATCTTTCACAAAGAAGTTTACTGTTCCAGAAAGCCTTCATACTAATCAAAATCACATTATCACATACAAAATGACAAAAGATAATCAGTGTGGGTGTCTTTCCAGAAGAGGCTGAGACCGGGGATTTGCAGATCTCAGTCCTCAGCAGTGACTTTCTGTTCCATGCTGACCTTCTGGGCAGGCTTTTGGAGAGATGGTTAAGGCTGTAGCTCCTCATATTTAATTGTGCCTGGGCATATTTATTAGCAGGTGTGAGAGTTGTAAGTCTGTTTATAGTAATTGAAGTTGGTAAGATGACATTTTTTTGGCAGCCTTAATCCATCACTGCAGTTCTTTGTGACATATGAACAGCTGAAGAAATTGGACTTGTGACAAGTGAGGGCTACACAAGACATCTGTCTGAAAATGCTAACTTCTGCAATGGTAGAGCTTCCTGTGTTTCACTCTGCTTCTCACTGCTCAGCTCATCACAGATTCTGGGATGGCAGCAACAGATGAAGAAGGCTGGGGTGGTTCAGACTGCTGCTGTTGGCATCGGACGCTCTTCATCCGTGTTTAATGGCCTAAATTGTAACATCCAAACACTAGTCCTTACCATTTAAGTGCCCTTCAACTTCAAAGATAATACACAAAGAAATTTTGCAAGAAAATCAGGTACCATGTGCTGTTTTCTTCAGGGAGAGCAGCTTCTGCTTCCTCTCAGCTTATAGCTGCAGATGTCTGCTGCTTTAAAACAGCTCATGGAAATGATGCAGTGGAGCCTCCAAGACAGTGTTATTGTTCCTGAAGTGCTGGGAGCTTTTGCTTCTCGGCAGCTGAAGACATTTCATGCATGGAGACCTGGACTTGTTAACCCCAGGAATAGACAGTGGAGGAAATAGATCCTTGGGATATTGCACTGCTCTATAATCTCCTATCTTTTCTGGATCTTTCACTTATAATAAGTGATTTTAAATCATTGAAGACTTGACCTTTGTGAGGAATTGTTACAGTGTAATAATACCAGTGCTGTGTTGGCTTCCAAGGTTATAAGGTCTGTGGGTGGGAGATGTTTTCAAGTGCTTGCCTCCTGTTTTAGGTAATGTGAGTAATTTGCTCTGTGATTTTGGGCAAAATTTATGACTTCCCAATCTAGAAAAGGGAATAATTATATCTAATGATGTTGGGGTCAAATGAAGAAAAAAGAGCAGGTGTTGCTATGTGGCCTGAAGTGAAGTATGTTTACATCATGTTGAAGCTCTAATCTCTAAACAGTCTGCGGATTCGAAGAAAGTCATATTACCATGGGCTTCTCACAGTAATCATGAGTGAAGCCCTTTGTTAAAAAAGAAGAACATATAAATGAAGGTTTATCTTAACAGAATGTTGCTAGTGAACTGAGTTGATTTTTCCAATTTCTAGCTTTTACTTTTAGTTCATGTCATGTTTGTTAAAATGTTTCCTGCCTTAGACTTCCTAGTTAGTGTGGATGGAAAATACTTGCTTGAAATTTTTTAGATTTTTTTTTTTTTTTTTTTTGTGATGCTGGGGATTGAACCCAGGACCTCAAAGACAGCTGAAGAAGACATTTCATGCATGGAGAATCCATATCCCCAGCCCAAAATAGTTTCTTTAGTGTACCTGTTTATCTCATTTCCAATAAAAGGTACATGACATTTTCCTTTTTTCTTTTTTTAGTGCTATAGTAAATCATTCTCCTTCCTTCTCGTCTTCACTGTATTTTCAAAACAAAAGTGTCCCTCAGAGCCCCAAGAATTTTCTGTTTCTAGAAGATAGCCTAAGAAAGGGGGTTGGATCCTTTCTGGTTCAACCTTTAAGAACCATATTAAATTCTAACTTGGGCTCCAGGGCAGGCCATTTCTACAGAATGTGCCAGAGAGATTTCCAGTTTGTCTAGCCCCATGACTCCTTCCTCCTTGGAAGAGAGGGAATATGAGTTTTCTTGAAGGATCAGGCAATTTTCCTCCAAGCCATTTTTACCTTGTCGTCTTTATTAGAAAACATTTTGGAAACAGAAATTGGAAAACATTTTGTGAAACAGAATTTTATCTTCAAAAGTAAAAGTCATTTAAAAAAAAAAAAAACACACAAAAATCAAGGAAAGAAAAAAGGTCATTGATGGTTTGTAGGTATTGACTACCTAGACCAAGATGAAAGGCCACATGCCCCTGGCTTCACTAGATGGCAGCAGAGGACCCTGAACTGTCTGCAGGCACTGAATGTTATCTTATAGGAGATTTTTTCTCCTTAGCGGACATTCCATTAATGTGAGAGACTTCTGTAGAGAGACTTTCACCTTTGAGTTGAAAAGATTGCTTTTCTCAAACCACTCTTTGTTTAATGTTGAAAAAATTTTATTTTTTAAAGCACGTAAAATTTCTAAAATGGAAACAAGTTGTTTTGAAAACCATATAGAGTGAATGTCGGACAATCTGTCATTATTATACATTTATTCAAATTATATGTGTCCCTACCAGGTGAAAGGAAATCAAAACCTCATGTATAAGACAAAAATGTAGCATAGGTTTATTAAGTGCCTTATAGAACAGGATCCTAACCTGCTTTTTTTTTTCAGTCTTCTCTTTCTTAATTATGAAAGTTAATGCAATTGTGGAAGCGTCTAACCACGAAACAACTTAAGGAACTGGGAGGCTTGATCCCCTTATTTTCAGGGGATGATCACTAGTCCCCACCCCTTGGATGTTGCTTACGAATGGCAAAAGAATTTCTAGTTTTTATAACCAAGTTGAAGAAAATGTTTTTGTAAGCTTATGGATTTGTGTAATTTGATGCTAAATGTTGCTGATCTGTCATATAAAAAATGGCTCCTGTTCTTCATATTTATTCATGTGCTAGAAATAGTATTCATTATTCAAAGAGTATACACGTCACAAGTATCTATATCTCAAGCTCTTTATTTAAATGTTGTTGGAATATGTAGTGTAAATCTTTTGTTTCATTTATTTAATAAATTAGAGTAATATATAATAACAAAACAGTTTGTGATTATTTCAGATAATTAGAAACATTTAAACAAAGGTAACACAGAGTCTAAAAGGCTGGGGAAGATACCGTGTCTAAGGACATTTCTCTCTGCTGGAGAAGTTGAGGGATCATCTTGCTTAATGCCTGGTACCTGCGTGGAACATCCCTGCCCCCTCCATTGTATGAAATGTCCTGCAGCTCAGTAGAGGCCAGTGAACTTGATCCTGCGGCTGGTTTGGCAAGTCAGCAGCCTGGACATTTAAAACACTAATATGACTGAGGTCACCATTGTGAATTATCAAGTCCCCTCAACCTGTCTTCCAACATTGGGTGTTGCTAGAAGCAAGACTGGGGCTCCTTGATCCACTGTGGACCAGGCAAGGATACCCAGTTGGCAGAAAATAACCAGTGAATGAATGTGAACTTGGTTCATTAATTTTTTTACTTAAAAATATTCTCTAGGTGCCTGTCTTAATATTTGGATTAAACAGTGGTTTATGGAAACACCAGAATGGGTAAAATGGGGAAATTTTTTTCTTAGACTTCATTTTTTAGATCCATAGCAAAACTGAGTGGAAGGTACAGAAATTCTCTTTTGTCCTCTGCATCCCCCATTATCAGCATCCCACACTAGAGGGGTATATTTGTCAGAACTGATGAACCTACATTGACACATCATTAGTACCCAAAGTCCATAGCTGACATTAGGGTTCACTCTTGGTTTTGTACATTCTGTGGGTTTGGACATAGGTATCCATCACTGTTATATTATCAGAATAGTCTCATTGCCCTAAAAAAGGGAGGTGTTTACAGTGCTGATAATCAAACCCTGGGCCTCGTGAATGCTAGGCAAGCACTCCGCCATTGAATCATATTTCCAGTTTAAAACCTTGTCCTTGTTCTATTTAAGCAATTGGATGATATAGCCTTACATGGTTGACTACATATGAAGGTCAGTGGGAACAGCTGGCTGCTGGTGTGCCTCAAATGCCTGTGGACAGAGGGACTCTCACTTGCATGATGCCACCTGTTGGACACATTTAGCTTTCAAGCCAGGGTATGAATTTTTAAAACTGGCAGCTGGGAAAATGTGACAGGGTAAATTTTTGGCACATTATAAGGAGATCCATTCTAGAGCAAAGCAGGGGAATGCAAGGCAAAGCTGGTGTAGTAATCTGTCTCACAAACTAGATGCAAATAATGGAATTGAGAACACCAAGATCAAAAACTTGGAAACCAAAGCAGGAGTATGAAGTTTAAGTGATAGCACACTGCATGCTTTATGCTTAAGTTATATCGTAAAAAGGCCTTCCCAACTACATACATTGGTTAAAATACATAACAACAAAAATCAAACAGATACAGGGAGATCTTAACCACCATCCCTTCATCAAAGTAGCTGGAGACCCTCATTGAAACACATTTTCAAGTTAAAAGATATGCCCAGGGCAGGAGATTTAACCAAAATTTTATTTATTTATTTACTTGACATTATGCATACAAGGAATATAACTTATTCTAATTAGGATCCCATTCTTATGGTTGAACATTATACGGAGTTTCAGTGGTTGTGTATTCATATATGAACATAGTAAAGTTATGTCTTGATTTGTTCTACTGTCTTGCCTATTCGCATGCCCCCTCCCTTCCCTTCATTCCTCTTTGTCTAATCCAATCAACTTCTATCTCCCCTCCCCCACATTGTGTGTTAGCATCCACATATCAGAGAACATTCAGCATATGATTTTTTGAGATTGGCTTATTTCGTTTAGCATGATAGTCTCTAGTTCCATTCATTTACTGGCAAATATTATATTTTCATCCTTTATTATGACTAATATTCCATTTATGTATATATATGTATACATACATATACATATTGGTATAGATGTGGATATATGTGTATATATATACATGTGATATATATGTGTGTGCATATATATATATATATATATATCAATTTTCTTTATTTTTTTAATTTTTAATTTTAATTTTTTTTTAAAGAGAGAATTTTTGATATTTATTTTTTAGTTTTCGGTGGACACACCATCCCTGTGGTGCTGAGGATCGAACCCGGGCCGCATGCATGCCAGGCGAGCGTGCTACCACTTGAGCCACATCCCCAGCCCCAATATATCCATTTTCTTTATCCATTCATCTGTTGAAGGGCACCTAGGTTGGTTCCATAGCTTTTACTATTGTGAACTGAGCCACTATAAACATTGATGTGGCTGTGTCACCATAGTACGCTGATTTTAAGTCCTTTGGGTGTATGCCAAGGAGTGGGATAGCTGGGTCAAATAGTGGTTCCATTTCAAGTTTTCTGAGGAATCTCATACTGCTTTCCAGAGTGGTTGCACCAATTTGCAGTCCCATTAGCGATGTATGAGTGTACCTTTTCCCCAAAATGCTCACCAACATTTATTGTTTTTTGTATTCTTGATAATTACCATTTCAACTGGAGTGAGATGGAATCTCAAGTGTAGTTTTAATTTGCATTTCCCTAATTGCTAGTGATGTCGAACATTTTTTCAAATATTTGTTGACATTTTTTCATATATTTGTTCTTCAGTTCTTTTGCCCATTTATTGATTGGGTTATTTGTGATTTTTTTGGTGTTAAGTTTTTTGATTTCTTTGTATATTCTGGAGACTAATGCACCTGAGGTGCAGGTGGCAAAGATTTTCTCCCATTCTATAGGCTCTCTCTTCACATTCTTGATTGTTTCCTTTTCTGTGAAGAAGCTTTTTAGTTTGGTACCATCATATTTATTGATTCTTGATTTTAGTTCTTGCACTTTTGGATCTTATTGAGGAATTTGATTCCTAAGCTGACATGGAGATTTGGGCCTAGTTTTTCTTCTATTAGGTGCAGGGTCTCTGGTCTAATGTGATCCACCATGAGTTGAGTTTTGTGCAGAGTAAGAGATAGGAGTCTTAATCTCATTTTGTTACATATGGATTTCCAGTTTTATCAGCACCATTTGTTGAAGAGGCTATCTTTTCTCCAAAGTGAGTTTTTGGCAACTTTGTTTAGTATGAAATAACCGTATTTGTGTGGGTTTGGTCTCTGTGTCTTCTATTTTTTTAAAATTATTTTTTAGTTGTAGTTGGACACAATACCTTTATTTTATTTATTTATTTATTTTTATGTGGTGCTGAGGATCAAACTCAGGACCTCACACATGTGAGGCAAGTGCTCTACCACTGAGCCACATGTGTCTTCTATTTTATACCATTGCTCTACAAGTCTGTTCTGATGCCAATACCATGCTGTTTTTGTTACTATAGCTCTATAGTATAATTTAAGGTCCGGTATTGTGATGCCTCCTGCTTTACTTTTCTCAGTGAGGATTGCTTTGGCTACTCTAGACCTCTTATTTTTCCAAATGAATTTCATGACTGCTTTTTCTATTTCTATGAAGAATGTCATTGGACTTTTAATAGGAATTGCATTAAATCTATATAGCGCTTTTAGTAGTATGGCCATTTTGACAATATTAATTCTGCCTATCCAAGAACATGGGTGATCTTTCCATCTTGTAATGTCTTCTTTCTCTAGAGTTTTGTAGTTTTCATCATAGAGATCTCTCACCTTTTTTGTTAGATTGATTCCAAATATAAATATTTTTGAGACTATTGTGAATGGGATAGTTTTCCTAATTTCTCTTTCAGTTCATTCATCACTAACATATAGGAACACAATTGATTTATGGATGTTAATTTTATATGCTGTTATTTTGATGAATTCATTTATGAGTTCTAGAAGTTTTTTATTGGAGTTTTTTGGGTCTTCTAAATTTAAATATAGAATTATGTCATCAGCAAATAGGGATACTTTGAGTTTTGCTTTTCCTATTCAGATCCCTTTAATTTCTTTCTTCTGTCTAATTGCTCTGTCTAGAGTTTCTAGGACTATGTTGAATAGAAATGGTGAAAGAGGGCATCCTGTCTTGTTCCAGTGTTTAAAGGGAATGCTTTCTATTTTTTTCCATTTAGAATGATGTTGATCTTGAGTTTAGCATATATAGCTTTTACAATGTTGAATATGTCCTACTATCCCTAGTTTTTCTACTGTTTTGAGTATGAATAGATGCTGAATTTTGTCAAATGCTTTTTCTGCATCTATTGAGATAATCATGTGATTATTATCTTTTAAGTCTATTGATGTGATGAATTTCATTTATTGATTTCCATATGTTGAACCAACCTTGCACCCCTGAGATAAACCTCACTTGATTATAGTGCACTGTCTTATTAATTTTCATTGGCTTTAATTCACCAAAATACTCATGTGCAGGAAGTCATCCGTGATTTACATGAGGGTCTTCTCTGGGTATTGTAGCCAGGGAGACTTAGGTTTGGAATTGCAAACTATCTGTGGCTCTCCCCAGAACAGATTGCCCAGTGCACGTGACCTTATTCTCAGCTCTACTAGGAAGATTCCCTCATAGTAGATGGGCGTAATCCTTTGGGAACTAGACTGCCCACCTTTAACCTTTTTTGGTGAAGAACATGCTATGGAAGGCCTTTGATGTTTTCCAATATAAATAAAGCAGGTGTGGGCTCCATTTTGCCATAGTATAGAAGCTGGATCCGTATGGTGGACATGCCCATCCTACCCCTGCTTTTGAAATATTATCTGTGACCTGTGGTTTTTTCGTTGTTCTGTTTGTCCTGGCTTTTATTTCTCAGCCAGCTCATTCCACTGAAGGGAACCCCATTTCCACCGCCTGTGCAGGACACGGACTGGACTCATGGTTCACTTAGTGTCAAGACTAAAGCCATCCCGAGGTTTTTTTATTCCATTCCAAGCTTCTTTGCTAATATCCGTAAACACTCAAGTCACACATCTAACTTCACACAATGATTTGTGTCACAGAAAAGCTAAGAAAGTTAAGTTTTCAAAAGAAGTGAAAGCAAAGGCAGGGGACTGATCCAGATGCAAAGTCACTGCAGGTGGTCAGATAAAGTTAAGAAAACCAGACAGCTGGCCTAGGAGAACAGGACGG